AGGGTCGTTTGATAAATACTAAGATCAATTTAAAGTTGAACTTGAACTATGGCATGCCGTTCATGTGACTAGTTGCCCGCATCATTCATGACAATGAACTCTCAAGGGATTTTCAAATCATAGTAAAAAAAAAAAATCTTCAAATTTGACCTTTTTTGTATAGATCATTGCGGAAGAAAAACAAATTACATAAAATGAATTTAACTGAGGCTTACACTATCGTAGGCACCCCCTCTCCCCCCCCCCCCCCAAAAAAAAAGAGCCTTGAACCAGATGTTATAGGAAATACGCATAAGTTCTTATAAAATTCTTTCAGACACTTTCTTTCACAATATAATCACATCACCAGTACTCAAATTTATCTTGGAATTATTTTGCGATGATTATTTGCGCTACTCCAAAGTATTCATGCTTCGTCTCATAATCACAAAAGACAACCGATGAACATCATTAGTCTTTCGGGAATCACACGATATGGAATCCGATCTTGGTTTTCACAGTAGTTGAGTTGCAATCGGATACTAGAAAACGGAATCAAATACGATCTATTAAATACAGTGACTGATCAGGGACGCACAAGGGGAACATGCCCCTTCCCCTGATGAAACCCATATGGTATGCCTCAAGTAAGACAAAAGAAAGACAAACTATGCATATAGTTTTGGTCCCTCCCCCCCCCCCCCCCCCCCTCCACCGCCCCAGCCGCAGAAATCTTGAACCAAGAAGGCACCTGAAAATGTCATTAGTTTTGGAGTAGTAAATTAACGAGAGTTACAAATATCCACGAGTCATCTTCTAAAAGCATGTCTTATTATTGTTACATAAATTTCGCCAAAAAAAATGATTGAATTATTCATAACAAACAACACATCCATGTCCCTTTTTTAACCCAACTTGTTAACATTTTACCCAAATTGTACATGTTTATACTTTTGATAATTCAGGTGTGTCTTTAGTGTACGTGAAAACACACCCAAATGTTTTAAAAACTAACAGAGTTTGGTGTTTTGATCTCGTTGGAAACATCGTGCCAAATCAAATATATACATAACCTCAATACAATAAATAATATTGTACAGGTTGTTAAACTAATAAACAAGTCTAGCGATTTCAGCTTTTCCTTTGGAACGTGTTTAATCTGAGATAACGTAAAGTCAAAATATATATTTTTTTAATGTAAACAATGTCTGTCAATATTATTTTATTTTACTTTCAGTCGGCCAAACACTGCCAAATTTTAATCCTTGGATGCATGTTGATTTGCTTACCAGATTCTATCATTTCTGTGAGAAATTTCACGATTTTTAAACTATATATTTATAGTTCTTTTTTGTATGTATGTTTGCATGTTTGTTTGTTTGTTTGTTTGTTTTATTTCGATTTTATTTTTGTTCGACACGCACTCTTTTATACTTGCCGTAATGATACTTCATGCAATTACCACTATCAACATGCAATGAATTAAAATAACCTTCTTTTTCATAGCTGTATGTTTTTAACAGACTTTTAACACTTAGGATCAGGAAAACAATAAATAAAAACAAATTACATTGTCTTGAATGAATTTGACGAATCTTGAAGGTCAAATTCCTTCAATTACTTGTCAGGTTTCGGAGGGCAAGGATAATAAAATATTATGATAAGTACTGTCCTTTTAATTAAACTGTTTCTCGTTTTCTTTCCTGCTTGTAGGAATGTTTGACTTCCGAGGGCAGACATTTGGCGCAGGTCTTCTTCCTCTCAAGTGTTTAATTCTTCCTTTCTAAGTATTTATTATTCCTTTCTAAGTATTTATTCTTCCTTTCTAGTATTTATTTCACCCTTTCTGAGTATTATATAGATTATAAAGATGGAGGAAATGAGTACCACAAGACCTTTATCTTAGACAGACATACAATCTCTTATATTAATATAAAGGGAACGAGGGAAATAAAAAGGAGAATTCAGAAACAAAACCAAGTTTTGTTGTTTTAACATGTTTGATGAAGTAAGCACACTTTAATTCTCCGAAGATTGTTATTCCTGACGGAGATCACTTTGTACATGGTTTGTGTTTTTTTTTACAACGACTTTAGTCAAAGACCTTATTAAAAGTAACGTAAAGAAAAGGAAAAAAAATAATAAAGAAGAAGAACAACAACAAGAACAAGAACAAGAACAAAAACAAGAACAAGAACAAGAACAAGAACAAGAAAGAAAAAAACAAATAGAAGAAGAAGGAGAAGAATAAGTAGTTGAAGTAGTAGTAGTAGTAGTAATAGTAGTAGTAGTAGTAGTAGTAGTAGTAGTAGTAGTAGTAGTAGTAGTAGTAGTAGTAGTAGTAGTAGTAGTAGTAGTAGTAGTACAAAAGGAAGAAGAGGTAGAAGAAGAAAATTTTCCTTTTACATGGTGATTCAAGACGGTCTAAGGTCCGGGTATATAGGGTTGTATACTGTACGGTGAACATGATATTGATTCCTTTTGCCGAAAATTGAGATGAATTAAGCTTGAAATAAACCTGATGTAGGCCTAAGCTCTGAATAAGCAATGTTCTAAAATTCGTATATTTCTGACGGAATACGTATTCCACCTTCTCCCTGTAAACTTTTCTTGGAAAAGGTGGATGAACTAGGAGAAGATGAATGCTCATTTGAAAGAGAACAAACTACACAATAGATCAAGTATCAGCATGGTCACTGTGACAGTTGAATAGTCAACAAATTATGAAATCCTTTCTCTTGCTTTCATCATTGGTGGTATATTTTGCAATTTTACAAATATGATTTTAACCACTGCAACTTATTTTCTACATCGGAGTTACCATAAGTAGAGCCAAGATATCTTTTTTGATACACTTAACCAGAAATTGTATATAATCGAAATCATTTAGAAAAATAATAAAGTAAATGGCTGAATCAATATAATTGTTGAATATTACTGTTATACCCATCATACTCGGAGACTATTTTTAATTTGATAATTTATGAAATATTTACTTGATTGCCTAAAACATTTATTTCCTGATTTAACATTTTAATAATTTTGTCTTGTATGTTTTTTAATAATAATGATAATTCATGAGATTTATATAGCGCCATTATCCATTCTAATTAAATGTCAAGGCGCTTCAAATTCGTTTACTTCTAATTGTAACTTTGTTTCATCATCCTTTGTCTGTATCTATACCGTCCATATCATTTTGTGTTAAATTCAAAATGTCTTCAAGGAAAACAGTGTTGTAATCACTGATCATTAAAGCCACCCTGGTTTTAATTTTAAAAAAGGTTTAAAAAGATTTAATTAATATTACTGCCTATTTTCTCATATTTTGTGGAAGTACTTTCGAGTGCAACTCCCGATCAACGAACCCTTATCAGAATATGGAGCAATATTATCCCGAAAGGTGTGAATTTGATGGGAATAGGTTCGCTTTTATTGATTTCCCGTTTTCCTGTCTGTATGATCGAAGGACAACGCGACTATTAACAGGTTCCGCAGCCATTGTTTTACTGTCATCAAAACGTAAAAACAGATCGATGTACTTTATAACGCGGAGGAGTTAGATATTATGGAGAAGTCGGTCGGGGAGGGCGGTATACATAATGGCTATGGCCCATGGATCTAACGATGGATCAGTACAGCAACGATCAGTACAGATCACTTTGATATTAAAAGTAAAAAATCAACCGTAGAGATCATTTCCTGGGACTCTGTGGATGGCTATATATAATTGAAAGGTTCAGAGTACAGGCACTGATCTGAGATAGTGGTTAGAGATGTAGATTAGGGCAGGGTAATGTTTATAGCGATGATAACATGAAAAGTATCGATACCAACGACTTTGCATTGATTATCAAATACGGTTGTCATAATTGTTATGATTCAAATTCAGGAATTGGTATTAATTGAATAAATGGATGAATAAATAGATAAAAGCTTACATAACTTTTTTTGTAAATACAATAAAATCAATGGTTGATAATACTTATGTCGAAGCTTTGTAATTTATTATGGTCTTAATAAATAAAAGTGATTTTACTACAACTAGTCGATGCCTCTGTAGTGGTTTACCCTACCACCATCACATATAACTACCACCCCTCCCCTTTCTCTCTCTCTTTCTTTCTTCTTGCTTCCATAATTTTTTAATAACATAGCCTTCCTTCACCTCTTCTCTCATCTCCAAATTAATTTCATCATTAAATAGTATAATATTTACAAACACCAAATTGATTTATCATTATAGATCATTTATTTTCAATAAAATATACAGATTCTTCATCCTATTTTTTTTTTCTTCTATTTCTTTTCAAATAATTGATTACAATTATATACAGCATCAGTACAAATCAATGGACAGGAAAAAGCAATGTAGTTCAGAAATGTTTTTAAAATATTTTGAAAAGAATTAACCCAGACACGACTCCCAAGAATTTCATTAAAAATGAGTAACATATACAAACATAATCAAATTATATATTTTCTCCATTTCCCCTGTACAACATTTGATGTAAACTACGAGCAGAACGCCAGATCATATTGGTGCATTATCAAAATTACTTTTGTTTCATACTTTTAAAGTTGGCAATGCGTTCTAAATACAATGTTGTATGACACACACATGTTTTTTATCAATATTTCTCCTTTTGAAACAGCAGGATACAACAAGTATAAATACAGATGGAGTACAATATGCATGAACAGTCAAACCTGCTTTAGTGACCACCTGTCTACAAAGACCACATTTTTTGTTTCCCTTGAAAACTGTTTCTCATTGAAACATGTACCACTTTTTGTGTTTCCCTTGGGCGGTCGCTATAGACAGGTTCGCCTGTATTAGGATATACATGTACATCTAAGGCAATCACATAGACTTTCAAAAAGTCGACTCAAGCCAGGGGCAATTTCAATAACCTTTTGTATGAATTATGTTAAGATTACATAATGCATCAATCTTATGTTCACAGAATTAAGTGGGTGATGGAAAAAGCTCTTGAATTTGTCTTGGGTTACTTTTTCCAAAGTCTTGCTGCAATCATGTAATATCTCATGATCTTCCAATCTTCTTTCATTTAATCAACTCTGCTGTTAAAGATGAAACTGGTAAAGATTTAAGTTCAGCTCTATTACTTGAGGACCTTAAAAAAACAATTGGTATTAATTCGGCTTGAACTTTTGATAGTGTTCAGTTCTTATATTTGAAAACTAATAGTTACTAATAACACCTTTAAGATAGAGTCTTTGCTCGACTTCTCAGATTACAGAGTGTTCATTTTATATTTGCACTAGCTACATTATAAAACATTAAAATAATGCTTTAAGTTTTCTTTTCTGGCATTTCATTCATTTGAAATCACTTAAAACAAAATCAGATGGTATCTCTTTATAAAATCACAATGCCAGTATAATTTAGGTGAAACTATTGATGACTGTCTACAACTACAATCTTACAGAATTTTGGCAAAATTTTTAGTCACTTTAAATTATATAACAATATATGTGAATAACAGCATTAGGTGAAACAATTATATAAGTTAAATACATGGATAATATGACCAAGTAATTCAGTTAGTACATTAATAAGTATTGCTAGCAACTCAGGACACTACACACAAAGCTGTAACTTAGCTCCTCAAAAAAGTTTCTGCAATTCAAGTTTGATCGATTGTATCTCACTTTTCATGGCATAATTATCGTTTTGTGTAGTATCAATAGAAAGTATGGTTATTCCTCTTTAGAATGATATCATGTTTGGTATGATGGTGTGTCCATAGAATGAGCAGTGCATCAAAATAAGGGGCAGGGTCAAAAGTAAAAAGTTGCCAAATGCAGTGGTAAGCACTGCGGAACACTCTTCTTTCTTCGACATAAAAGAGTACGATTTTGATCATGACAGTGGGCTACTGTTCCCTACTGGTCAGCCGTGAATGCCAACTTCCAAAGATTCTGAAACTAGAATTCATGCACTATGGTGACATGTCAGGCAAGATTCACTGTTGTTTGGTCATCAACTTTCTGAAGCATTATGCCTAGGTAAACAACTGTTGAAAAGGCCTGGCCAAATAGGGCAACTTCAACTAGGGCACAGTCTAACAAGAGCTGTGCATTTTGCAACTTTCCGCTTTCGAAATTGCCCCATATCTACTGAACTTTCCATGCCTGAAAAATCATTACAAATGGGGTATCATTTTCAAAAGGAATAAACCCAAATTTAAATGATACTAAACATAGCGATGGTTATGCCATGACGAGAGTGATATATTTGATCATACTCAAATTTTCCAAACTTTTTTCCGAGAGGTTTATATAAAAACAATAACAGACACAACAGTATCTTCTGTGAGGATGAAATATAGCACTTAATCCTATATTTCTCAACTAAATGCTCACTTAATTTCTCAACTAAATGCTCGCTTAATTAAACAAGCATGCAATAGGTCTACCAGCATCTCTTCCTAATTGACTATTGGAAGACAACAAAAATTGATATTTTATTTACTTTTACATACATGTAAATACATTATGTAATTGCCTACTTTCTATTTTCAAAGCCTTAATGTACTAGAAGCACTATCATAAAAAAAAACCTCTAGCGCCATCTCAGGTCAGCTGTAGCAGTATGGTCCCGTAACTGTTCGTAGAGTCCAAGGAAATTTACCAGTCTCAAAGCACGTATCCATTTTTAGCTTAAAGCGCAACCATTGCGTCCTTTATTGTATGCGCAAATAGAACCATGCCTGGTCAATATTTTTTCGCTATACTGCCATGCAGGCAGTAGTAAATTTCATGCTTACAGTTTTGACCAATCAGAAGCCTAGAATCTTCATATGCTGTATGTAGAAGAAAATATCACTCCAGTGCCGAGATCGCTTCTTTAATTTCAGAATATACAGTAATAAGCAGCACCGAATATATTTTGTCTACCTTTCAAAATGTATCAATCTATTGCGCTTACATAATTCTCTTTATGATCGAAAGAATATTTAATAGTTTCTAAATGTAATGTTACCTTTTGGAACTATCTCGTAAGAGATAACAAATAATATTCAAATAATATACATATAATATGTGAGGAGAGAAAATATGATTTTAATTATGATAAAAGCTGACATAGGGGCTCTTTCATATTCTTTGCCTAACCCATGCTGTTCTATCACTATGGCAGAATCTCACCTTTTTTTTTAAATGGAAATATACAAATGTATGGTAATGAGTTGTACAATGCTAAATTAAGAAACAAATGTTCAGAAAAGCAGAGTAAAGGGAAATATAGGGAATGTAGTCTAACATATCTTGTCAATTTTTAATATATCAATATGCTCTCTCATGATGTAATACAATTCTATTTAAAATACATTATTTTTTACAATTCATGTGTATTCAGATTTTGACAGATCATAAACAGGCTATAGACTAAAGAGTTAAAAGCACAGAGTTTTGCCAGCTCAGCTTCAGCTGGATCCAACTTGGCACATATTCTTTTGCTGTGTGCTTGCCCAACAAAGCAACAGGCACAATCACTGTGGCCACATACAGAGTTTACATGACTCCATACAAAGGCAAAATTTGCTGTCATCACAGGTTTGTAAATTGAGTATTAAAGCGAAATATAACAACAAAATAGAGAGAGTACGCTAATAATATGAGAACTCTAAGGACCACAGGAACAAGCTCCATTGTTATGGCCAAACTTTGCGTAGGGATAGCATAGTCTACAATATTACAACAGAGTTGAAGGAAAATGATAACGATTTGGCCACTATAAAAAATGACAGAAAAACTTTCTAAAGTTACAAATAATTCCTCATAATGCACCAACTTCAGAGCACTATTTGGATCAGGCACAAGACAGCATGAATCTGAAATAAGAAGACGATTCAGAGAGGAAAATGGGCAATCGATCCCAGTATGAAAATAAAAAGGGCTGTAATCCCTTTTTATCAATGTATATAGGATTACTAAAATGTTATATCACATCTTGAAATGATGTTATTTGTTAATGAATCAGAATCGTAAAAAGCTGCTGAAATAAGTAGATCAATGGAAAAAAAATGGAAAAGGTCTTTGAAGAGTGCCAAGGCTTGTTCATCCATGCCGCAGTAAACCGGTTTATTACGGCATTTGTGAAGGAGCCTTTAGGTGGGCAAGGCTGAGCCTGAGATACTCAAGTGATAAGCTGATCTTGATCCGTGGACTGTCCCATCACGTAGTCGTACGATGGTAGCTCCGGCTGCGCAGTCGCAGGGGCCCCCAACGGCTGGCTGTAACTGGGCGGGGCTTGGGGTTGGGCCATGGTAGGGGGTGCTCTTTGCACGCCTGGTGGTGGTGGTGGTGGTGTTGGTCCCATGGGATTGGGGTGCATGGGTGCACCGGGAGGGGGTGGGGTTGGCCCATAGCCATAGGGAGAGACTGGATGCTCTACATGGCCGTTTTCATTCATTGGATGGGGAGCATCTGAGAAATTGAAATAGTTGTCATACATTATGGATCTGGCTAGAATAGATAAATGAATGGATAGACATTATTTTGCAATAATGGGAAAAACAACAGTAGTTTTTATCTGTAAGATCAAGAAATGTCATCATTGAAATTAGCTGTACATTATCATCCTAAATTCTTCATCATGCAGTCATGTATCCATAAAAATCAAAAATCAAAAATTAATCAAACGTTGTACAATTTGACACATTCCTGACATGGACATGTGCACATCGTTTAAAAAAAATGTTTCTTGTACATACTCACACGCATGTTACATTGTAACATATGTTGTAGGTAAACAGTAACCCTTCAACTTTATTGTAGTGAACAATGCCGCTTCAAGTGACTCCACAGAACACAAAAAGTTAACTACGCATGTGCAGCCACCCCCCCCCCCCCTTCTTCCCAACCTCCTGGCAAAATCAATCTGAAAATGATTATCTTCACTACAACTAATTTAACAAACAAGAGATTTCAGTCCAAAGAAGTTGCCTGGGAATGTACAGAAACGTAATAAGGTCCCTATTTTTTTAAAACAAAAACCAGTCTGATATACCTTCACTACACCCTAAGGGTGCGTAAATTAGTCCAAAAGGCATCTGATAATGAGAAAACCTTTCGCACATGTTTTATACTTACATGGTTGGAACATCTCAGCAGGATGCTGCGGGTACCCCCTCCCCTGTGGTGGTGGTGGTGCACCCCTAGGGACCGGTGCCCCACCCCTAACACTGGGCTGCCTGGTGACCTCGGGAACCCCAAGGTACGCCTGATCCCTGCTTCCCCTGCTACCTTGCTGCATCATCTGCTGCACCAGGTACTGACGGAACATGTCCAGGAGTTCGTCCTGCCTTGTGCGCTGCTCGCGTTTGAACGTCAGGTAGGACACCTCGCCGTCGATGTCAGTGTCACGGTCGACCGTGGTAAGGCAACGAGAGATCTGGAGATGAAACAGTATCAATATATTTTAAAATGTGTCTGGGAATTGTAATCCACAGGGGACCAATCACTTAAAATTATTTACAAATATCACCAGCGCTGGACCTTTATCCTTTATTCGACACCGTTCAGGTGTTGTCAATCACCAGGATTACCCTTCAGTTTTGTGACCAACAGGCCTTATGCAATGCTCTGCCGTTTCCACTAATTGCCCCGTATGGAATAGTCATTATCTTACATTTCCCTCAACTGATGGGACTATGGGTTTGCTGTGTGCGAGGCTTGTACACTCATTAATGGTATTTCCACCAAGTCAGGTGTCAGCGAATAATGACCCACTGCACATGAAACTGATAACCCACTCCCTTTAAAGCTGGACTGCACTACTTTTAGCTACTTGGGCCCTCTATATAGCAAACGGTGCCTAAGCGGTTCCCGTTGGTTCCCCATGATGCCCTTCTTCTTATGTTAATTGAGAGCTGATTTCACGAGACAACCATCTGTCAGTGACCTTGCAGGGAGGTCTAATCTCCCTGGCTAAACTAGTGCAGACAGGTTTTAGGAACATGAGAATTCAGTAGTCAACAGGTTGCCATCTATTTGACTCACCCTGTAGATTGGGCACATGAAGATACAGCACGGCAGGCACATGAGAAACATACAGACACCTTCCGGCGAAAAGGAATACATGCTGTTGAACTCGGTCGAGTTGGTCACCACAATATTGGCATAAGCGCAGTGGTAAGTCGTATTGAAAAGGAGGCTATCTTGCCCCTGGTGGACTGTCCTGAACCAGCCTTTAAGAATGCTGTTGAAGTTGAACTGTACATTTAGAAAGAGAAATACACGCAGAAATCATGTGTTACTTATAGAATGTTAATCGGAGAATGATTAGAAAAGAGAGAAAGAAATACATAGAAGTATATATTTTATTTTTTTAAACACTTAAAGGTAAAGACCAGTATTGGCAACGCCCCAATTTCAAAAAATGAAATGGCAGCTCTCATTACCAATCATGTGAAAGAATATGTTTTGAATAATACATGATGATAAAAAATTTGCCGGGAAACTGCCTACTAATTCATATATTTGGTAAATTTATTTCTCTCATGGTCTGGTGAGAGAGATAGGGTAGTCCCATATACATCTTTCTGTGTATAGTGCTTGTAACTTTACGAAGAATGAGCCAAATTTCTTATCATTTTGATGATTCCAGAACCTTGCAGATGCTAGATGCTAGATGATCGACCTTTTCTGATCGATTCCACAACGTTTCTTTCACAATGCAATCGCATGACCATTACTGGTCTTTACCTTTAATCAGTACTTTTTTCATAATAAACATGGAAAGTGGTACAAAGAGATTACAACATACTTTCTGGGACCAAGGAAATTACCAGCACTTTAATATCAAGGCTGAAAACAATGGAATAAAACTGAAATAGGACCATGAGAATTACTGTAAAAACAAAAAAAATTCTGTGTACATAAATGATCTTAGATTCACCAAGTGGTTAACATTTTGGGTTTCGTTCATGCCCCAACTAAATTGCAAACGCCGTGGAAATAGCTGTCTCTTGTAAATTGTGAAAGTTTCATGTTGTCAAAGTTTTTCCATTTTACAATATTTAGTTACAAAAAAGTTTGATACTGTAAAAGTAGAAATATTTGGGGTACATAAATTTTTCACGGATTTTGCGCTGAGAAAGTTTAAGCAAGACTTCTTATGCATGTTTTGAACGGCTGAAATGTGTGCAATGCGCATTTAAGAACCAGCGAAAATGTTTTGGGGTCACTCAGCGTGAAATATTACAGTACATGATTATACTAATATCTTTTATAATGAGATTTCACAGAACTACCACACTACCACTGCATGACATGAAGCTAAGCTCTGATTCTCTCGTAAAAACTTACCTCAAGGGCAAAGTTCCGACCATTGACAATGTCCTCTCTTCCTCCATCAAAGATCTGCATCATCTGAGTCTGGATGACAGGATGTGATGTGTTGACTGTCACAATGATGTCACCTATAATACATCAAACAACAAACAAAGATGCTATCATGCAAGTTCATCTGCTATCATGAAAGGTCAAGTCAGGTCACATCGCTGACTAAGGCAGTAGATGAACAGCTTAAAGTTAGGAGGTAATTTTTTTCTTCTTCTATTGAGAAAGATGTTTAAAGATAAAGACCAGTTATGGTCATGCGATTGCATTGTGAAAGAAACGTTGTGGAATCGATCAGAAAAGGTTGATCATCTAGCATAAAAGTATTGGTGTGTACTGCAAGGTTCTGGAATCATCAAAATGATAAGAAATTTGGCCCAGTCTTCGTAAGTTACAAGCACTGTACACAGAAAGATGTATATGGGACTACGCACACGTGCGCGACACGTTCGTTTATCTCTCACACACCAATAGATAACTAATTTACCAAATATATCAATTATTAGGCAGTTTCCCAGCAAATTTGTTATCATCGTGTATTAGTCAAAACATACTCTTTCACATGATTGGTAATAAGAGCTTCCATTTCATTTTTTGAAATTGGGGCGTTTCCAATACTGGCCTTTACCTCTAACTTTAAAAATATAACAGAGCAGATGGACATGTAGTGACTTTGGCAATGTAAGTATAACCAATTTGCCTGTACTGTATATAACTCTAGCCAACACAATTTTTCAGTGTTAAGTCCTACAAACTTTTGAATGGCAATTTCTGTAGCACAAATGAACTTTCTACATGTATTTGCCATCTAGTAATAACAACTGTAAGTTAAGCAGCAACACTAGTCATAACTCTCCCAATCACCTTTTAGTCATGATGCCAGGAGACCAACAAATCCATCTTTATAAACCAACCATCAGATTTCCTCATTATTTCTGTCTTCCTCTGACTGCCATTTGTTCAGGTGTATTCCTAACACTTCTTTTACGCTAGAATGTTCTTAATAAAAATGTGTTGACTCCAGTCCGAGACTATTAAGAGTAGATCATCCCCCTTCTCTCTCTCTTTCTCTCTCTCTCTCTCTCTCTCTCTCTCTCTCTCTCTCTGTCTCTCCCTCCCTGCTTTTAAACAGACAGAGGCACTTACATTTCAAGATGTAGCGGGTCCTTCCTGACTTGTGCCTCCTCTCCAACTTGACATCAAACACCAGAGGGCGTGTCAGCAATCTCTGAACAAGCTGGTCGTACTGGGCCACTGTTGAAACTTTCAAAATTCTGTAAGAGCAATATAAAAAATATAGTTGAAGAGTAACCTACTTGGAGAAATAATTATCCATTTTAAAGTCATGATGGAGATACACAGAAGCCTGACATGAAAAAAGAATCACAATCGCATACCCTGTATGTAATATAGCATACAATTAAAGACTGGAAAAGAATGCTAGTTGGACTTGAAAAAAAAAAATGTAACCGTTTCTAATATAGCACCTTATCAGTTACAATGTTAATGACAGAAACTATTATGGGATATCTTTTTGTCTGTTAGTACAGGGGTCTTCCACAATTTTGATCATATGAAATTAAATTCCAGACATAGCATTTGTGCTCTTCGCAATCTAAACCTTACCAAAAATAAAATTGTTCCTCTTGTAGAGCGCCTAATTTAAACTCATCGGTCTACAATAGCGTGGAGAGGATGAAGTATTGATGAAGTAGTGTATTAAGGGTGATGTAAATGTAAGGGGACCTGTTCATATATGGGTCTCACCTTTCCATGGAGTCTGGAAACTTGGGACCAGTTTCTGAAAACTTTCATTTGTCTAAAAATGAAGACCCAACTGACATGCCGTTTATCAAATCAAAATGTGTTTTGATGGGATGTCCATAAACTTTCACTTTTTACAGTTTCAAGAAACTAGTCCCATAATTCATGTTAGTTGTCATGAACAGAAAGACCGACCTGTTTACATATGGGTCTTACCTTCCCATGGAATCTGGAAACCAGGCTTCGTGTGATTTGTCATGAGCACAGAGATTGACCCGTTCGGGTACGGGCCTTATCACAGGATGCCTGACACAATGCTGAACCTGAATTTGAAGGAAAAAAATGTAACAAAAACAAAAAGAGACAACATAAAAACTGCTCAATTATAACAAAAAAGACAATGAGAAGAAGAAGATTGTTGATAATTACAATGATAATGACAACAATTATGACAACAATGATGAGGATATATTTAATTTGCATAACTTTATGGCTCTCCTGCTGTACATGAATAATATTTAGAGCTGTTTTTGTTCTTTAAATAAGAATTCTACCCTAATAATTAGCCAGTATTAATAAAAGCAGAACACTGAGAGAAGCAAATAAGTGAAAGTTTGAGCAATATCCAACTCAAAATAGGGAATTTTTCAATTGTTGAAGTTGTCATCAGTAAAACACAAATTGGCATCGTTTGATTGATCTCAACTTCAAAACTTAATAACTCTTCTTAATTTTAATAGGATTTCGCTCCAACTTTCACTGACCTGTTCCTCTCATTTGTCTGCTTTATCAAAGCAATTTAATATCCAGCAGAGCATAGAGTCAATTCTAATGTGTATAGACCTCTAGCACTGTACTACATGCTGAGAGGCAGCAATTGCAGACAATACACACATTGCACACTAATGCACACAATGAATACAAAGTGGCTGATTGGCAAGTTTGATAGTAGACTCACGATTTGAATTTTAAAATTATTCTTTCTAACATCGGTAAGTTGAACAAAATGTATTTACTGCTATTTAGGTGTCATCAGTTGTCACTAAAGTACCGATTTTGAGTGAAATCAGTTGAGTTTTGTACAGTGGCCTTTGAAATGTTGAGAATCAATGGAACAGTTTTTGATACACAGCCAGGATAGTAATGCAGCTATGTGTGGGTGGACTTAGTACATGAAGTGATGTACAAACCTGGAAATACGGTGGAGGGTTCTTGACGAAGTCCTCCACAAGAGTAACCCCTATCATTGGGAGTGCTTGTTGTGTGTTGATCATGGTACTAGCCACTCTCTGCAGGAGAAAGACAGAAAGAATGGAGAACAAATTGAACTAATTTGAGGTCATGTATATGAATAGTCATTAAAAGAAACATGCTTTTGCCTTTCAGTGATGGCATGTGCTCAATACCCAAATATAATCTGTTGCTTTACCTTTACCCAAGACCAGACGAAAGATTGCCCGACTCAATATGATGTACAAATTCAACGCAAACCTTGTAGACGTTGACTGGAACCCCTAGTTAACCAGACCATCTCGCCAACATAGATGCACACACCCATTATCCTTCCAGAGACCTAGAACCAACTCAACAATTTACTCAAATAGCTTCTTCCCATGGACTGTTAACTATTGGAACGACCTGCCTCATTACATCCTAGACGCCCAAACATAGATATTTTTAAGAAAAGGCTCTGCGATTTTTTCACAAACACCAATCAGAAATAATTCTACCAGGTCAACCCCCAGGTCAGCCCTCTGACGCGATGCGGGATCCCGCTTTGTCGGAGTAATATCCAGAACCAGAACCAGAAGAATATATGTTGTGTTCTCAGCAGTCAGGCTTCCAGTTCAATTGTGTGTTTCTAACTTTCTTCCTTCTCGTAGTTGGGTGTCTTCATCTAGACCAAAAGCTTCCGTCTCTCTAATCGTCGGTTGTTCCACTGAGACAGGGGTGATAGTGAGCACTAAAAAAAAAATAGGTTTTTTGATTTCCCCTCAACCATACCCCCCATTTTCGAGAAAGAAAATTGGGAAAAAATAGGGCAAAATAGGAAAGATTTGAGAAAATAACGGGGAAATCCGTAAAATCAGGATAAAAGAGGGAAGAAGAAGAAAAAAAATCTGGTAAATTTTTTTTTTTTTTTTTTTTTTTTTTAAATTGGGAAGAAAAAAAAAATGAGGAAAAAATCAGGAAAAATTTAAAAAAAATCGGGAAACCGATTTAAATCGGGTTTTTATCAGGCCTGCTGAGACTACGTCTGGCTCCACTAGACCTCCGATTATGGTATATGGGGAATGTCAACAAATGTCAGTTTTATTAAAGAAATGACCCGTATCAGACGGTTATCTCCGTCTATCTTCATCTTGCTGCTAGTTTTAGATTCATTGCCTTGGCATTAACATTATTAACCATTCATATTAATTACTACAATTTAGTATAAACATATTGCTTCATCACCAAGAGCCTAGACAAGTACAAGTGCAAAATATCATCATTGACATTAACATGTACCGGTACCTGAAATATGAATAGATCTAGGCCTAGGCTAAACATTGAAATACGCAAATGATAATCATAAGATAAAAATTAAAATGCAAATGGAAGTAGATCTAGAAGATCTAGAACTTAAACTACAAATAAATGATAGACAATTAAACAGCTAATCCTAGACTAGTAAGTAAAATAGTAGACAATAAAAATTGATATTTATGGTCTGTGCCTTTGTTTTGGTTTTGCACGCCTCAATGATCACCATGTCACGAGACATGACGATCACTCAGCACAGCTCAGCAAACTCTCTAAATAATCTCCACAGACTACACAATTCTCAATATGTGGGAAAGTGTATTGTTTCAATTTCGAGCGTCATGGCATTATCAGTAGAATTTAAAGCACATCATTGGTAGTTAGACAAACATGATCCTTTCAAGCAAAGTACCTAACAATAAGTGGCATTTTTAAGTGATGTAATAATGCAACACTTACCTATCAAACACAGATTGAATTGTATTTATGAGCAGAAAATTATTCTATTGAACGAACGTCGTCGATCAGTATGGGTAGTCAGTAGTCTTTATTTTGACATGACGTCATGTTCTAGGCGAACTCGACTCGACTCGACTCATCATCAATCATCGCATGTCATTGGTTGTCCGTAGTTTGCAGACACAAACCCTTGTTAGATATTGATGAGAATAAGGTCTGAATTAAGAAAGTATGCCGACTGAACGGTCTAGCGCTATCCATAGGCTCTGTTTTCAAGCTGATTGACACAGCCAGAGTGTGACAGAGTTAGGCTCTGCTCAAGATTTTATGGAATTGTGATTCAGTGTCAATTTGGAGTCTGTACTTGTAGACTAGCTTGTCTAAATGACGTATTCAAATTGAGGGGGGGGGGTACTTATTGAATTCAAAGTTTCTGGGATAACATTGAGAAGGAAAACGAAAGCAAATCAGATTCATACAAAAGAGTAACAAACATAACGGGTAAATAACTTAAATGAAGTATAATGCACGGTGGATGATAGCAAGGTGTTTCGGGAGAAATGTTGATGAGATCGATGGGGAAAATGACAAAACGGGGACAGGCGACTCTTTCATCCCCCCGTTTCTTTTGTTTAATTTTCTCTTTTTTCCCCTTTTTCCCCTTTTCTCCTTTTCTTTCTTTTCTTTCGCCGGCCGACCGACATTATACGTTACACCGAGTTCAAAGTTCTGCATTAATATAGTACACGAGGATAGAGCGAGAATACCGACATTAGCTGACCCGACACAGCAACATTATAATAATAGACATTTCTATAGCGCCGTCTATCTAAAAATTCTATTCCGAGGCGCGTTTATTATTACCCCGGCTTTAATAGCCTATAGCTGCCATTACAGCGCTCCAGCATTTCAAGGAATTAATTCCTGCCAGGTACCCATTTACCTCACCTGGGTCGAGTGTGGCAAATGAAGATTAATGCCTTCCCAAAGAAAATTAGTACCGTGTCGTGGATCGAGCCACGACCTTTGAATTTCAAGTCAAGTGCTTAAACCACTCGACTACGACACTTCTACGTAATTATCTGCGTATCTTTCTTGCTCCCTCGACGAGATGACTCCACCCAACAACCCCCTCACCCATCTCTCTCTCTCTCCCTCTCTTACTTCCAGCACTCCTCTTTCATGCTCTTACCCTCCTCTTTCTCTCCTCTCTTTCATCCCCCGTTTCTTTTCTCTCCTTTTTTCCGTTTCTTTCTTTTCCTTATTTTCCTTTCTTTTTTCTTTTCTTTTTCTTCCCCTCTCTTTTTCCCTTCCCCTTTTCTCATTTTTCCGACGACAGCGCAATTTTACCGACAATATCCTGATAGGTGGGGGTGTCGCCCCCCCCCCCCCTCTCCCTTCTAGCGACACTCCTGCATGAATGTACAATAAAAGTGCGTACAATGCCATCAATCAGCCTGGATACCATTAGATTTTGACCATAGCGTGACAAGGTGTAGCAATCAAAATATAATTTGTGAACCACCAGAATATATAAAACCAACCTTACAAACAAAACTATACCCGGCTTTCTATTGGATCCCAGATAAGGAGCATGCAGAAATATATGACCGGCGCGCACGGAACCCCAGTCGGACGTGCGGGACCCGTATATTACATGGGAACGTTTGGGTGATTAAAATAGTCCACTGAAATATACCCATAGCGATTAATTGGTACGGTTCGATTGTATTGTTATTTTATTGCATTTCTTTACTCGAGGTCGGCTAAAAGCAGCTTTCCAGGTAGGTCATAAAACATTTTGTTTCCAAATTAAAACATACCGTTACACGAAACAAAATTAAGCAAATGAGAATTACACGACTATACAGAATTAGGCTATAAAAAGGAACATTGTGACTTCCACCATGTGAACTCAAATGGATTCAAACAGAACTACATTACTGTCTTGGCTCAATAATTTATTCATCCTCCAAACATATACCGAATTCCCAGATTAACAATGCAATGCAAACAAGAGCTCTCTCTCTCTCTCTCTCTCTCTCTCTCTCTCTCTCTCTCTCTCACACACACACACACACACGCGCGCGCGCGCACGCACGCACGCACACCATGTGTATTAAACGTATATAATGGTCTACGTAAGGGTTATATAAGGATTTATACAGAGAGAGAGAGCAAAGAGATAGAGAAATAGAGGTGGGGGGGGGGTGAGAGATAGAGAAAGGAAAGTAAACACAAAAAGAGAGAGGGAGGAAAGGGAACAGCGAGAGAGAAGAAAATAGATAGGGAAGAGAGAAAATGACGAGAAATTAAACTCCTAGACCGCTTCCAACACCTCTTAGGAAAGTCAATTTAAATTTTCAGAGTAAGTCCAGAGGTAGAGGTAGGGTGGAGGGGTGGTGGAGGTAGGGTGGAGGGTGGTAGAATTGTGAAGGGGTGGTAAAGGTAGGGGTGGTAGAGGCAGGGTAGTGGGGTGGTGGAGGTGAGGTGGAGGGGTGATGGAGGTAGGGTAGAGTGGTGGTAGAGGTAGGGTGGAGGAAGGGTGGAGGTAGAGTGGAGGGGTGGTAGAGGTGAGGCAGAGGGATGGTAGAGGTAGGGTGGAGGGGTAGAGGTAGGGCGGGAGAATGGCAGAGGTAGGATGGAGGGGTGTTAGGGGTAGGGTGGAGGGGTGGTAGAGGAAGGGGAGGGGCGGTAGAGGTAGGATAGTGGGGTGGTAGAGGTAGGGTGGTGGTCGAGGTAGGGTAGAGGGTGGTGGAAGTAGGGTGGAGGGGTGGTAGAGGTAGGGCGGAGGCAGGCGCGTACGCAGGGGGGGGGGGTGTTTTGGGGGTTAACCCCCCCCCCCTTGGTATTTTTATGTGTATAAACCCCCCTAAAAAAAATATATATATATTCACATGGCTGACCTAATAAAGGTGACCTTACCCCTCCCCCCCAACGGAGCAAAATGTCAAATTTTCAAATTTCGAGACCAAAAAAAAAAAAAAAAAAAAATGTCCTCTTAGGGGTAGGGTGGATGGAGGAGGGGTAGGGTGGATGGAGGAGAGGTACAGTGGATGGAGGAGAGGTAGGGTGGATGGAGGAGGGGTAGGGTTGATAGAGGAGAGGTAGGGTGGATGGAGGAACGGTAGAGTGGGTGGAGGATAGTTAGGGTGGGTGGATGAGAGGTAGGGGGTGGAGGAGGGTAGGGTGGGTGGAGGAGAGGCAGGGGTGGATGGAGGAGGGGTAGGGTGGATGGATGAGAGGTGGAGGTAAGGTGGATTGGAGGAGAGGTAGGGTGGTTGGAGGAGAGGTAGGGTGGTTGGAGGAGAGGTAGGGTAGATGGAGGAGAGGTAGGGGTAGGGTGGATGGAGGAGAGGAAGAGGTAGGGTGGATTGGAGGAGAGGTAGGGTGGATGGATGAGTGGTGGAGATAAGGTGGGTTGGAGGAGAGGTAGGGTAGATAGAGGAGAGGTAGGGTGAATGGGTAATACTGAAGCAACATACACAAATTGTGATATTATAAGTGATTTATTTATAACAACTTTACCATAAATGGTTAAATTTCTCATCTTTCAGAAATTTGGAATCGATTTAACCTTTTTTAGTTTCACAGACCAGTTCAGTCGATCACATTCTTTTTTAGTCTAGTTAAATATATACATAATTACTTGACTGGATTATCATCCCATCTTAAATCTTGTATAAACTCTATTTTAGGTGTCGTTGTTATTACATTTGTTTTCATGACATTTAAGCCTGGCCCAGCAAAATGTCCAAACCTTCTGACTTCTTCAAGTGAAATGTTAGCAGATTCAATGGAATTAAGAAAAAGGACAGCGTCATCGGCTAATTGTGATATTTTAAAAACTTTTGACATACCGTTATTTGCAGAGACGACCGTGATACCATGTATTTCATTATTTTGCTTGATTTTTAAGGCCATTACTTCAACAACAAGGATGAATAGTAACACAGAAAGCGGGCAGCCTTGCCTTATTCCTCGTCTTATTTCAAATTTTTGAGAAACCCAACAATTGTTTATCACACTTCCTATCGTATTAGCATAAATTACTTTGATCCAACCAATAAATTATTCTTTGAAATTGAGCTTATTCAATAATTGAAACAGAAAATCATGATTAACTACATCAAACGCTTTTTTAAAATCAAGAAAAAGAAATATACCTGGCGAATGACAGGATTCACAATATTCAATAATATCTTGAACTAAACGTAAATTTTGCATAGCAGAGCTTGTTTCAAGTAACCTGTCTGATCAGAGGATATCAATTTACATATAACATTTTTCAGTCTTTTACATAACACCTTAGCTAAGATCTTGTAGTCAGTGTTCAGTAAAGATATTGGTCTCCAGTTGTCCAAACACTGTTTATCCCCTTTCTTATATAACAAAGTTAGAATAGCTAATCTTTGGGATTCAGATAGTTTCTCTTGTTGAAAACCCTCATTTATACAGTCTATAACCAGATATTTTACGTCGTCCCAAAAACATTAAAAGAATTCCACAGACGAACCATCACTGCCAGGTGACTTGTTGTTTTTCATGGACACAATAGCCTGCCGACATTCTTCTTCAGTAACCAATCCTTCACATGACATTGCTTCATCGTCCGTCAAAGTCGGGATTTCGATTGAATCTAAATAATTATCAATTTCCGACAGTGTAGCTCCATCGGGCTTTTTAGAGTACAAAATTCATAGTACTTTATGATCTCTCTAAGTATAGTTTCTTGGTTAGTGAAATGTTTGCATTCTTCTTTATACAATCTATTTCGCCCCATGGATGCTCATCTGACCTTAATTGAATGCCTAAAACCCCTGAACTTCCGGGGGGCTCCCCTGGATGCTAATCTAACCTTTATTAAATGCCTAAAACCCCCGAGTTTCATGGGGCTCCGCCCCTTGACCCCCCACCGAGGCCTTTCCCCTGGACCCCACACCAATTTACGCTCCACTTGCTTCGCTCGCTTTACTCTACCTGATCGTAAATATTTTAGCCCTCCCTCCCCACTTTAAAGAACGTTGGCAGGGCCTTCGTAACATGGCTGCTGGTGATGCCGAGTTTTTTCTCCCCCCCCCCCATCGTTTTTGCTATTA